CTTAGAATGCCATGTGCCCAGTAAAATCAACCAGGGTCATCCCACTCGGGGCATTTTCTATACTGTACTGTAAGAAATCTGACTGCCCTTGCTTCTCCTTACAGGGGGAAGTACTCAGCCCAACTCGTGCAAAGATACAGCCTGCATTATCTTGCAGTCTGCAGAGCTCTGCATCTACCATAACTATTGTGGGGTGCAGACTAGCTGCACAATGCGGGCCGACAAGCTTGCTACAGATCCATAATACATAGACTAATTGCTACAACTAATTAGTTACGATGTACTCCGTACTCCGTACAAATAAAAAAAGTTGGAAAATAACATTTCGCGGCAATCGAAAAGGGAGGTCTGTTCCTTGAAACCCAGCTTAACTAGAAAGGCTGACAGCGCCACTAGACCCACGACAGACTGAGTACTGAGTCCCGTCTACAATACCGAGTGGAGAGCCTTCAAAGTACCCCTCCATTCCAAGACTCGTGCTCCCAGCCACTGATCAAAATCCAATCTAATGCAAGGGATAGACCGAGATAGAATTATGCCCGGGAGTCAGTCATATCCTCATACAAGGTTAGGCTTCAGGATGTTAGGGCACAAGGAAACATCAACAATACAGGGCAATAAACACCATAACCACCATATCTAGAATAGATCCAAGAGTTTAATTTCCAAGGTCTTTGGTCTCATATCCATAGATGGCTACTATCCAAGCTTCTCCTGCAAGATCCTGTGGCGTTCATGCAAGACATAAACCCCTTCCCACGGGCCCTGATGTCGATCATCTCCACATTCTTTTGGTCTGCAAGCCCTAATGTGGCTGGGATACTACTTGCCCCTCCAGGGCTCTAGGTTCTGTCTTGGGACTCAGAGAGCAAGATACTACGGAGTAATGTTTCACACGTTCACCTTTATGGCCTCATCATCTCAGACATCGCTCAATATGGCAGTTCTCTTGCAACATCACTCTCGCCCTGTCTTGCTTTCTGGTGCCAAAATGTTTGAGTCCGTTGGCGATCACCCCTCTAAGCCCCGGATCTTCTACACTATACACCATTGCTTTTCTTGTCTTTTTCGTAGGAATAATATTAAAGCTGACAGGAGGTTGTTATTGGGTCCAGGGGCTGTGTTCTATTGCGTCGCCCCAGACAGGCACCGGAACCATTCTAAAAGAGGGCCTATTGAATCCGACTTGATGTACGGTCTCTCTTGTAATTCAATGGCTACCAAAGAAGAACCTGGTTCACACCACTCGAGGTCGTCTTGTAAACCGAGGTCATCTACCCCGAGTCATGTGTACAATCAACCCCCCCAGTGCTCGAGCACCCATTGGCGTGAAAGTGAGACCATCTCTCCAGGCTCGCTACCGATCAGCACCCCCACCCCCCTCCTATTGAGTTCCCCCTCTTATCCATCCCCCTGCCCTACTCTCACGGTCACACGATAAGGATCTTCCTTTTAACCCTACCCGAGACATAGGGATAAGATCAAAGAGGCTACCCAAGTAGAAGTGGGTACACTAACTGGACCATGGCTGTATAGTGCCCAATAGACAGTGGACGCCCTCCTATCGGACCTATCCTATCCTTATCCTTATGGGCCAGGTAATAGCTATTATTGCCTTCCCTTGCCCCCTCCTAGCTCTCTGTGGCTCTGTGGGCCGTGGGCTATATACTCGAAGGTTCAAGAACTATTGCCTGTGTAACTTGCTTCCCAGGGATGGTTGTTGAGTGACGATTAAGTATCTTCTCGCTTTGCCGAGGCTTATCCCCGATGATACTAGCCATCTTCGCTCTCAAATTTTTAATCCTATTTTATGCTTGATTCAAAGTAGAGAATCTCCAGGCTTATTGCTTTCTAGGTAAAGCAATGGCGAGGAGGAGAGAGATATATGCTAAAAATAGATGATAATTTCTTCGCCCATGGTGAACCCCACAGCCAATATCTACTTAGGAATGGAATATTCATGGCGATAGTCACGTCATCAAAACTTCAATGCTCAAAGGGTATCTAACAAACCCTCATTGACCTTGCATTCTCTTGAAGCGTTCCTCCGCAGCCCTCGCTCTGCGCTCTCTCTCCAATCGCATCCTCATCTCAGGTGTCATACCTCTAGTCTCCTCATCTCTCCTTTCGGCTGCAGACTTCTCAACAGCGCCCACAGTACGACCACCAGATTTCGTCGTTCTCGGCCGCGCCGCCTTCTCGGCCTCTTCGCGTTTCAGGCGATCCAAGCTAGCCTGACGCCGGGAGGATTCTTCCTCCTCGGCAGCTTTACGTTCTTTCTCAGCCCGACTTTCAGCGTCAGCTTTGGAGACCGCCGATGGCACCTTGGCTGCTTCCCAGTCCCATTTAGACTCGCCGAGATCGTGGCGAGCAATGCGGAAGGCGTCGCGCGTGGCTCGGTCACCAGTGAGTTCGAATGGAGTTCTGCCTTCGTTATTTACTGCCGTTGGGTCGGATCCGGCTTTTGTGAGGAGGGCCGTGACTACGGCTGGTGCATCGAGATTTGCGGCGAGGTGAAGGGGTGTGGGACAGCGGAAGTTTTGTGGCGAGTCGGCAGGCGTAAATGTGAAAGACGGAGGTATGGAGTTGTTCGTGATATAGGACATAAGGGCGGGAACCTTTGAGCGGCGAATGAGTGCCTGTAGTTGGGATGTGTGCAACAGGGCAGCTTCCTCTTCTTTCGAGAGCTTCGGCTTCTGTGGTTGCGGTTTTGGTTGCGGTTTTGGGACAGGCGCAGATTGTTTTGATTCTTCCTCTCGCCGCTTAGCTTCAGCCGCAGCTAGTGCGGCTTCGTCCACCTCGCTGACCTTGATTCGGGTCAACTCCTTGAACGACCGCATGAGCTCCCCTTGAGTCGCACGGCGAGTATTGAAAGGGAACCCTCGTATACGGGGATCGTTCTGCCTGAGGACCTGTCCGTCATATTGGCCGAAAAGAGTCTTTCGATTTGTCTTTCCCGTAGCTCGGACGAACAACAGCTCCGCCGTGTCAATCATCTCTCGCCAGTCTGACAACACCTCTCTGATATCCTTCTCGAGTGCAGCCTCGTTGTACCGGCGCAGGGTTGATCCTGCCGAATGAGCAGCACCGCGCGACGCATCACTTGCAGATTGCGAGCCACCCTGCTTTCGCCGCGTAGTGTATCGGTGGAACGTTTTGTGCGCAATAACCCGAGCCTGTCTGTCTTCAACTCCTCCTTGCTTTCGGTGGATCTCCGGTGCTAGCGAAACCAACATAGCCGCGAAGTGGCCACCGCCGATCATACACATGAAAATGTGCGGGCCCGAAGCCGCGGGATCTGGCACGTTGCTTGCCTTATTGGTACGCGCTTTGACTGGGGCAAGCTGTTTTCGTCGCAGAGTATCAACTAGGTGGGCGGGCTCGTCCTGCTCGACGTTTGAGAATATGGCCCTGTAGACGCCTAAGGACTTGTTGGATGGCAATCCCGAGCTAGATAGCCAGAATATGGGGTGCTTCGGAGTGATTGGTGTCTCAGTCATTTCCGGATCTTCATTCGGGTGGGACAGCTTGGCCTGCTTTTTCAGCAGGGCGGACAACGTTGTACCCGCGGCCCCCTCTGCATCCTCCTCCTCTGTCTCCGAGGACTCAGAACCAGATATAGACTCATCTAACTCTCCGATCGCCTTCGCGAATTCGATTTCCTCCAGAGGCGCATTGCCCCGCAGCTGGGCCTTGATATTATACCGGTGATGGTCCGAGTGGACATGGCTGCGCTGTTCCTGTACACTAGCGTAAGAGACCTTGCAGAGGGAGCATAGATTGGAGGTTGCGATCGCAGAGTCCTGCGCCGCTAGTTCGAGATCTGTCGAAGAGGGTTCGGGTTCTTGTTCAGCGACCGGTTGACTTGTGGTTTTGGCAGTTAAGCTTGCAAGAAGTTCTGGCGGCAGATCGTACACTGGAAAGATCAGCGGAATGGATCAACGACGACATGGGGCTTCGGATGCGTACCATAGAGAGGCCTTTTCAAGAGCTCCTCCATCTGAGTGTCGACCATGATGGGTTGGGCGAAGAATGTGTATTGAAACCGTGGTGCCCCTCCAATGACGTTGTTAAGTGGCTCTTACCGCCTAAGAGCAATGGGCACTATGTGGGCTATGTTGTATGCGCGCTTCGTCGTCGCTTTTATGTCAAGATGCTGAATCTGCAATGGATTTTGAGTCATATCTTGAAGTTTGCTCAGCCTCATTTAGGATCTCGAGAACGTTCTTTTTTCATGAGTAATTCTAAGACTTATGGGCCGTGCTCGCAAATATCAACAAGTCGGCCTCCCGATTAGGAAATTACACCCGTGGACTTATGTATTCTCCTGTGCCTGGTGTATTTATTATATTTGACACCTTTATAGGGTTTAATTTGTGACGACCATTCTTTTCTCTGCCCCTATAGGTAGCTGTATCTATGTTGTCTTCTGGCACCTGTTGTGATCACATGATTATGACGTCACTTCCATATCTTCACTTGATGTTGGTATAGTTAAGGAGTCTATTCTCAATGGCCATCTAGAGGCTATGCTTTGAAATAAAAATTAATATACAATTAGGGTGTAATATGCAGAGATGGTCGACATCGACATGGCTAAACACTGGCGACTATAGCCAACGTTATTGTAATTGCATTTCGTTTGGATATAGTTATCTATACAATATCTAATTTATATGCTGTACATCTATCTACCTATGTTGTATTCGCCTTTCGGTGGTCTGTTAATACAGTTTGGATCAACCATAGTCTCTCCAATTTGAATTTTCACGGTTCCCATATTGAATGTCGATGAGACTGAATCTGACGAACGAATCCGAAGAGATATTCATACCAGAGTCCAGAAACAGTAAGTCTCATGATGTCCAAAGAGAGTTCAGGATGAATTATGGGATGCGAATTGAAATTGGAGTGTAGACGAAGTTACAGTCTAGGCACTAGAAAACCATGAAGAGTATCAAGAATAGGAGTAGCTTCTAAATGAGTTGGCGTATGTCTCATTAGCCAATGTCTTGTGAGGGGGTGCCCCCAGGAGCGGTGATATGAGGAAGCCAGAAATCTTGGTAAGTAATCAACTGATCCTCCACCCACAGACGCCAACGACCAATTTGAAGGCCCATGGATTTTGAGTCGTAGGGTGTAGTGAGCCATTTGTAACAAGGATCAATTTCCAAAATGGCTCTTCCTGCAACGCCTGGTTCCTGACTCGATGCCTGCCGACTCGTACGTGTATAACCTAGAGTGATACCATTTCCACCGGAGCCGGGAACAATTCTTGCTATCTTTTGCGCGAGCTGTTGGGCACGCCTTTGATATCTGAGTGTGGTGAAAATGCCAAAGTTCTGTCGATCCCAATTTGTGGCGAAGGGTGTGAGGACGAAGACTTTCGGTGCGTAGATTGCATTCAAGACACCGGGATTCTGATCAGTCCCAATCAGACCAGTTACACTTTGCGCATATACGGTCCCGTCTCGGAGGGAATTGAACGCAGTTATCATGAAAAAGTCGTCATCGGTTGGATTGAAAGCGTCGTCAACGAATACTGGGCTCTCCCAAACATGTGAAATATACACACCCTTTTCGGATGCTATAATCACTGCTGTGCATCCGTAAATACCCCTCACTCCTACGGCTGAGGAACCAAATGATGGATAGTCAAACCATTGTGCTGACACTAATCCAAGCTGGTCAATCCAGATTGGCGCCAACCTCTCGACGTAGCTGCTGTAAGGGGGAGAAGGGTCCCGGAAATGATATGTGATCAACGAACTGACCATCATTCTCTCATCTTGAGCGCTAGAAATACTTGCCTCGGATGCAAACTGTGTTGGACTTGCGACTCCACTACTTGCAGCAGTCCCACAACTCTCAGCTAGTAAAGTAGTGGCAATATCTGTTGAGGTCAAGGGACAACTATCGATCGTGGTCACCACTCCAATGCCGGCACTTCTCAGTGGATATAGGCTCATGGAGCTTAATCTCTCCCGGGTATTGGAAGGACATGGTATTTGATTATCATTTGTTGAGGCGAGGCTGAGAACTGCGGTTGTTGACCAAGTTTCGGGGTATCCAATAGTGGTAGGAGTACTTGAGGACGAGCAGGTTGTCGTGGAAATAGTTGAATTGTCAGTTATGAGATCCTCCAGGGTGCCGTTAATGGCTTCGGAATCATCCGTATAGATCTTATCTGAAACGAGCTCCAAGCTCTCGTCGAGATAGGACCATGTGGCAGTGATGTCTCCAATAGATCCCATTAAACCTCTCTTTTTCTTTGCACCACATTCCGAGGAGACGACAAAAGCCCACCTCGACCAGATGTGAAATCTTCAATCACTCTAAGCACCTTTGACTTGATGAAGGGTTAATGATCCGAGTGACTGTAATGTGGAAGAAATCAGCAGACACGTTCAATGCTGCTTCACGGCTTGGGTTATTGCTTCTAACTGGCGAAAGATTATTGGGAAAGAGTATGATACTCCTGTTACGATGAGTGCTGTCAGATGGTTGTAAGACTCAGTGATTATAGAATAACGGCGACTAGGATTCGTCGACTGCAACAATATGGTAAATGCTAAGATAGAGAGCCCTGTGGACTAACCAAGCTAGGTAGTAGTGGTGTTGTGGAGAAACAATGTTCCCAGTGTTAATACTTGCTGATGAGGTCTCACTCTGAGGTAATGAAGCAAGTTTGATGCTCTTACTGTTCAATCAGTGTAACTTTTGCATTCGATACTTTTGGTTCTGATGGAAGAAGTGGCGGGAGAAGGCTTTGTGAGGGTAAAGGGCAAAGTGCGCTCCTAGTGTCACTGATATTTAATGGGTATAAATTATATGATAGGGACTAGGCTATCATGTTGAAAGAGCTGCATGCAGAGTTGCTGTTAGAAACAATGGCAACAAAGCTTGTTTGCTTGGGCTTAAGTACAATGGTATTGTGAGCATAGCATTGTTATAAATACAAATACCTATCAATAAATGGCTAGTGGACCTTTCGCTTTGGTTTATAGACAGTTCAGTCTGTTTTTGACAATGAAGGGTATGACATTAAAGTCAGAAATGAAGAATCTATATTAACAACCTCGTCTTACCAGGTAAGGAATTGGTCCCAAGGATGAGTTTAAATATGGAGTAGAATAAAGATGACAAGCATACACTTGATCATCAGCACGACCGACTGCGGACTTTGTGTCGATGAGCCAATTGAGTTTTGAGTTGGGCCAAAGAATCGAATGCAGTAATAGCCAAGTAAGAATATGTGTTCTATACGCATCTACACGCACCGGATTTTCCCTGTGATAAGTTGTCTGCCTCGCGATATCTCCTAGGCGATAAAGGATGGGCTCTACAGGCCCCACGGACTCCGCGGGATCCACGGGTACGAAGGGGCATAGCGCTCACGGGTCGCATGACGTCATTGACGCCTGAATTCCTGGTTTTAGCCTTAAAGTCATGCCGCTCTTGACACCGCTCTATACAGTGTACTGTACAGTGGCGTTTCATTAATATTTAAACCCCAATACTTCCATAACTGACCGCTTTATATACCGCCTACCTATTCCTACTACACACACCCAGGGCGCGCGCAGCATATGCTGATTATCGAGGCACTATCCCTTCTCTCTCTATTTTTTGCCTCTCTAATTCTATTCCTATATTATCTGATACTATGGCACGCGGCCCTAAGCTCTTTCCGAGCGTATATGTGAGCTAGAACGTTTTGTTTTTGAATGCTATCAAAGTTCTACCGGCAGGAAATAAGTGGGTCTCGAACATTGCGAAGGTACTGGGGTTTAAATATTAATGAAACATGACTGTAAATGATGCCGGCACGGATTAACTACTCGGCCCGGTAATGAAGCTTTTCATGCCAGAGAGAATCATGCATCCTCATTTTATGGGGTGGTTTACATTGCACTTTGCATAATGGAGTAATACAAACCACCCTATAAAGTAAGGTTACATGATTTTGTATGGCATGAAAAGCTTCATTACACACAGTGCAATGTAAACCACCCCATAAAGCGAGGATGCATGATTTTGTATGGCATGAAAAGCTTCATTACACACAGTGCAATGTAAACCACCCCATAAAGCGAGGATGCATGATTTTGTATGGTATGAAAAGCTTCATTTTTCTAATCTGCCTAAGGCTACCAGAACCACCGGGTAGGGTGCTTTGCTTACTAAGGGCTCTGTAATAGCAATTCAGGTATTTTTATTTTTCTGCCGAGCGAAGTCCAGGCATCAAGGCATCAATGACATCATGCGACCCGTGAGCGCTATGCCCCTTCGTACACGGGCACCGACAGACAGGAAAGCTTTCTAGTCCACCACAATTTCTTTGTCCACAACCTCCTCAAGTTTTACTTACGCATATTCTTACCATTACTGTTCAATTTGCTGTGAAAAAATGTCGAGGAACTCCGAGTACTTCGAAGATTATACTTCCCTACATTCGGGACGGGCAGTAGGAGCTCCACACATTTGATAGCAAGTGGTTATTCGCTTGTGAGGAACGCTATCCAGCGAGCTTGTCGAAACCCTTCTCGCCGGCAGTTGACGACTTCGCGATGACCACGGAAATGGGTCATCTGCCCTTGGCGACGGCGAACGCGCTGGGGAACGCCCCGTGGGAGTAAACATGATGGCGCAGCACTGCGTAGGGCCATAAATGTTTAAGGTGCAGACACAGTCATGGTTCAGCATTTGCAGTATTTGTGACGAAACGGTGTGGAGTTGAAACCAACAGTATGGGGATGAAATTCGTTTAGTGAGTACCTAGGTAGTTACAACTTACGGAGATTTGTCAGCTACCTACCTAAGCTTCCACCTCGTGGACTTCTTCCTACCTACAACATACCTAGGTAGGTATCAACAAAAGGGATCGCATTTTTACTAACCGGCCCCTGTAATTCCTTTTCAAAAGAAATACGGGCCCTTAACGGCTCAGCCACTTTGAACCGAGACACGGGAGGGAGTAATAGCGTCAGGCAAGAGCTTCCCTGAGTGCCTGCCACTTGGAAGTCTCGGCTCCGAGCGAAGGAAGCACCATGTCACTACTCCGTAGAGTGATTAATGATTGTGGCAACTTTGGAAGAGGAAGCAGGCCATGAGCCTCGACTGCTCCGCTTGGCCTCTATCTGAGACTATCTCCGTGGTGGCACCATGGATGATTTGCTGTGTTAAAAACAAGGTTGATTCCGCGACCTAGGTAGGTAGTCATCAGGGATGTCAACCTGGATCCCCAACCGATTACTACTGATTGAAAAATGCTTGTTTCCCCACTCCAAGATCGAGCCGGTCCGGAGCACTATGATTGTCCTGTGAGAATGGAGTTCTGGGCCGTGTCTTTGTAATCCTAACATTACATTGATGAGCCCTGGCCATGCCCTTGCAAGTGGGCACTCTATTCTAATCAGATATGAAAATTTCCTATGTGTCTGCCTTTGTGGATAAGAGCGGTGGCAGGGTGAGACCTCACTAACTATGCTCTCAACTCGAAAGCTCAGTGGTTTGATAGATCATTACCTAGAAAGTGAGTGCCTTTGTCCATCAATGTTGCCCTGTGACCAGGCATCAAACAAGGGCACTGACCAACCGGGCTGCCCGGGACCACTTTTGACCACATCGCTTGTTCGCCTGACGTCGGCGGTCTTAGCTGTATAAAGAAGCAGGCTCCCCACTAGGCTAAGCGCTGAGATCCAGCACCGAACCTCATCACGCCCCTGCTCAGCACGAGAGTCTTATATCCTTGCCCGCTAGTAGCAGTCAGGATCAAGCCCGCTGCTTCCCAATATATTAATATCTTCATTTCCCAGAGGATTAGCGCCTGCCACCTTCCCCTTTACACTCACCAAATACCCTTCGGTATTCCCACGTGAGTTTCAAAGGTATGAAATCCCCTTCCTCCCATCTTTCTTTCTTGATCAGCCCTCTTTTGCTCTTCGTTTTCCTTTTTTTCTTTTTCTTTGTCCTCTTGCGCTAACTACACCACTCTATAAGGCCATCGCCTGATCCAACTCAAACATGAAACCCCTCACTTATCTCTCCCTCCTCCTTGGCATCTCTGTAACCACTGCCCTCGCGGCTCTCCACCCAGACGCAACCCCCGAGGAGGTCGCCGCGGCGGAAGCTGAGTGCGGGTCCCTAGGCGTGATGAGGGTCGATCCAGCAGAGCTGCCCGAGGGCGTTACGATGGCCGACGTCCGCATGTGCGCTGACCATCCGCTCGGGCCCGGGGCGTACCCGGGTCCGGGTCCTGGTGCTTTCGCCAGGTTCCGTCGGGTCTTGCCGAGTTGGGTATTTTGAGACGACAGCCCAGGGGCTGGGTCGAGGCCCTGTAGGTGGCTTCTTCTGCTCACGAGCGGGCTAGTTTTTCATACCCAGTCTGGTTGCCTGCGCTGTGCGGTGGGAGCAGCTGTTTGGGAATGAAACTCTTGGAAATTCATGGTGTTGTCTAATATTGATTTTCGGAATAAGCTTGATTGATACAGTCTAGCTGGAGAATAGTATTCAGATATAACAACATATAAATTCAATGATAATGATATTTTAGGAATTTCCATTAAGTAGTAGATTAACTATTTCCATATCGGCTCAGTAATCACTCACCCACGCAGCGTATATAGAAGGGTTGGTCTGCTGTTCTAGGAAACGGACGTTGAAATACTTGCATTACAGGGCCTAATATATATACCGCTGCAGCGGCAATCGGACGTTCCGATTGTCCCTATGATCTTTTGGCCGAGTGGTCAGATTCTCTTATGTAATCTCCAGGTGCTCTTTGGCAAACAGCCACACCGTCAATCTCTCAACCTAGACAAAATTTAATATATAGAAGACTAGGATTTACCATCGATGCGGGCAACATGTCTTCAGAACAGCAACGTCAACAGCAGCTAATTCTAAATGCACGCCGACATCGGATGCAGATGATAACTGCTAAGCGACAACCAAATACTAGCAGAAACAGTGGCACTCTTTTAGGACAGCAAATGCAGCCTCGATCAGGGACAATGGGGTCCAAATATGATGACCTGCCCATGCTGGAGCCCGCTGATGTTATCTTCATCGGTGAAAATCCTAAGTTGGTTGGCCTAGTTCCCGCCTTCTTTGGGCCCTTCGAATCCGCCTGCCAGCACGGGCCCCTCTCAATCATTCAGTCCATTGTCTCATCTAAAAATCTCACTCCTGCTTTTCTTCACCATGGTCTTACACGTGCCCTACGCTCTGGTAATATTGAGGTTGCTCGTTA